TGTAAGCATTTTTTTAGCTATGACCTAGATTCATAGCCTAAAGTTGCTATATTTTGGAACGGAGGTAGTAGTTCTTTTCTTGACTGTGTACGCGGGCGCTACCAATATGTGTTATGTGTTGGTGTGTCTATTTTCAATTTTCCTAATTATGGTCTTGCATGACTGTAGTCTTCTTTTTTCGGATTTGCTATAATTGTGTCGACAGATTTTTTCGTTAATTACAGTCGGTTCTCTGGCCGTTGGATCTGTGTTTAAGATCCGTGCTTCCATACTGACTTTTTCCTCGCAAAGAGACCTGAAAGCATATGCTATTGCTAGCTAATCTCTAAAGTCATGCAAATCCAAGTGAAGCGTCACCTAATTTCGTGCTATATGTATGCATCCTTTTCTTTAATACAAATTTTTTACACCCCGCTTACATCCCACTTACACATGTAATTACTATGTAATTTTGAGACTTACATATGTAATTATAAAACTTACATTATAAATACACTAAATTTACATATGTAATTTAGAGACTTACAATGTAAATATACGCTGACTATTTTTGGGTTAAAAATATGGCGTCATAAATATAGCTACACCCTCTTTTTTTTATACCATATCAATATAAAACCACTCTCGTGTTTGTTCATTTCTTTTTAAAAAATCATAACTAAAACCATTATAGCTAGATTTTTCTAGACTCCCATGGAAAATGGACTATTTTCCAACAATTAACTAAACAATTAGATTGCAACTAAACTGCTGTTCCAATGCGGTCTGAACATCTGAGGTCACATCGAAACGCAGGTCACGTCTCAGGTTTTCTTTATGCATAATCCTCACTCCAATCTCCGAACATATATTCAGATAAGTACAATGCACCATGCTTCTCCTATAATTGCCGTTTTAATCCGGTCGCTCTTACTAGTATTAAATTTGTTTTAGTCCGATTGATCCAGTTGGCCCCGTGGCCGGCATCGTGAATGCATCTATCTCTTTCGTTGTCTCCTCCTGCTCTCGATCCATCTAATTCGATCACCCCAGCTCGATCGATATGATTCCACTTATCCACGAGATTAGACACAGTCCAATGAGGTTTACTTCACACCTAATTAATCTAGTCTAATCTAATCTAATCTAAAAAAAGGCAAAGCTTTCTCTTTGCTGGAACAAATCAATCAATAAACTAGTGGGCTCATCGGGTTTCTGTTCTTGACACGTATCGAGCCGCCATGAAAGCTCAGCTCGCGAGCTTCAGTTTGCCATACACGGCAGCGTCGTTCTCGAAGGATGCTAGCTGCTGCTGCTGCTGCTGCTGCTGCTGCTGGATCAGCTGCAATTATCACCTGCTGGCTGCTGTGTCCGATTCCTTGGGTTGATATCAATTGTTGCTGCTAATTGCGCTGTTTGATTCTGGGCATGCGCGTATGATGATGCGGAGATGGAGTTGTAGGGGATGGGGATCAGATTTGTTTCGCTGGTTTGATCTTGCTTTCGATTATTAATTTGATGTGAACCTTTTTAGGCTGGATTGTTAGGCATAGTTCTCTTCTAGATGTGTGTACACTGTACAGTAAACAACTCAAGATTTTTTTTTTCTGAAATTAAAATAAACAACTCAAGATTCAGTCTAGTGTAATGATGGTATAGGAATTCAGTCAATCTAGGGGCAGATTTATTTTATGTTTTATATATCAAATGAGCTGCATCTTTAGGACCAAAATATACTGTAACTTCGAGTTCTGATTTCTATGGATAGCGCGTGGTCCAAAATGGCATGTGAAAAAAATGCAATGTAGCAATGTCCGAACCGAGACGTGTGAGCCTTTTGCACGATCCTAAAAAAAACAATTGCACGGAGTCATTGTAAGCGAAACGACATATTTGTAAACGAAAAGTAATTTGCGAATAAAATTTTTATATACGCGTTCTTAGTGATAAGTAAAGGCTGAAAAATAAACTTCGATAAGAAAACCTCAAAATCAGCTCTAAATTTAAGGTTGAAAATTCAAATTTTAGCTGATAAGTATAAGTATAAGCGAAAAGATAGAAACATAACCCTTTGGAAAAAAAATGTAGGTGAGCAATATCTGAAGAAGTATACGGATGAATAGATGATATATTATTTTATTTTGTAATAATATTCGAGGTTACAAGCGAATGAATCATCTACTTTTAGTTGTTTAAATACCGTTTTTAAGCATTGTATACAGAAAGTTTTTCACAGATCATACCGTTTAAAAGTATCTATAGTCCATAAGAGGAAAAGAATTGGATCTATTTCTCTGCCTCTGACACATTGCACGTAGATCTTCAGTCATTCTCTGAATTTTGCTGATGACTGGCTTCTCAATCGGTTATGGCTGATGAATCCAGCGTTTCCAAGCTTTCCATCTCCAGTCGCATCTCGAACCCAAAGCTTCGGTGCCAAAAAGAAAAATAAAATCCAAAGCTTCTCCTATACCGTGCTGATGCACTCAAGAATGCGAATGCAAAACACTGTGTAAACTCCACCAAAGCAGTTGGTGATTCAGCATGGGCCTTCTGTTTTTCTTGACAAGCACAGGCCTTCTAGACTTCTGGTCGGCCTTATAGGGTCGGCCTGGTTGCCATCCTAGAGTGATCTTCGTTCTTCTTCCTCCTGGCCTCTTCTTCTTCTCTCTCGGACCCTCCCTCTTACATCTTCTCAAGCTCGTCAATTCTATTAGGAATAAGTTCATTTGAGATCCATTAACTTGATAACGAATTTGATTTTCATCCTTAAACCGGAAAAATAAATACAAACAGATCCCTAGTTAAACTCTCAAAATAGGTGCAATGTAAGTCCCAAGGTAGTATAGCGGATGGTTTTGTCCGACGTGAAAGTTTGACTCGGGTCAACACCGCTGAGTCAGTGTGGGGCCCACCATCAATTAAGTTCACTCTCTCCCCTCTCTTTCTATCTCTCTCTCCAGACCTCCATCTTGGCAACTGGCGGGAGAGGCAGCCGGCATCAAGCAGCGCGTACTGGTAGGAGAGGCTCGTAGCGGTCGGTGGAAGAGGATGGTGGGAGAGGCGTGCGGCGGCTAGGGGCATGGCAGCGGCGAGCGTGGTGAGAGGTGCGCGACGGGTGGCGAAAAGCGGGGAGAAGGAAGAAGGGTCGTGGGCAGCGAGGGAGGCTCGGGGCGGCCCCTTCCTCTTTCCCTCGCCGTTGCAGCTGCGCAATTCCATCGGGCCTTCAAGAATCTCTTGCATGACCCTCTTAAGCGCTCATTCATCCATAAGAATCCTCATATGGGTAGCGTTCTCGATCTTGATCGACTTGAATTGGCCCTTCTGCCCCGGCTGTCGACACATCTCCTCGTCGAACGCTAACATGGTAACCAGATTAACGATCCCATCTCCATCACCGTACACTCTTTCTGGAGCCTCATCGAAGTTACCGTCTCAGTACACCAACTGTCGTGGCGTCCTCTTCCCCACTCTGTTGATGTACGTCAACGGCACTATGGGCGCCTCAAGGTAGTTCATCCTCGCAACCATTCGTCTCCTGAAAATAAGGATGCAAGTGGGTAGTCCCGCTACCCGTATAAAAATCCGTTTGCTATATTTCCTGCATGGTAGTAAAAAATATAAGATTTGATTTTCAGATGTCCTAGGAAGGATAAATAGAAGGTGTGGCAAGCCAGACAAGTAAGTAAAGGAAAAAAAATAAAGGCATGTCAAGAAAGAAAGGAGTGATAGGTGATGCGACTTTTAAAACTTATAAAATTAAAAAAGTTTAATTTTTATAATCGTAACATAATGTGATGACTATTTAATAAATCTTTTTTAAAAAATTATGTGTAAAAAGTTCAGATAATTTTGTACGGGTGTTAGTCATGCAATTGCACGGGTTCACTTAGCTAGTTAGATTAACTTATTCTAATATAAAATAATGATAAATATTTTAAAAGTTTAACCATGTTGTAAACGTTCAACATTAATTTATGATGCTCACCAGTCTTGGTTTCCGTACAACTGGGCACCTAATTGTGGGTTTGCATGCAGTTGGTAGGATTTGCGGCTGAGCATGATCGGCTTGCTATCGTCGTCCCCGTAATTGAGAAATGAAAACTAACGTTGGAAATGGTAGCGCCGGTCGCTGCCCTACGTATAATAAGTGAGAAAAGTACTACATATCACCTGCAGTTCATCTGCAACACCAGGACTGAATTAGTTGCTAAGGCTGTGTTTAGATCCAAATTTGGATCCAAACTTCAGTCCTTTTCCATCACATCAACCTGTCATACACACACAATTTTCCAGTCACATTATCTTTAATTTTAACCAAAATCCAAACTTCCCCCTCAACTAAACACAGCCTAAATCACCCGTAATTGAGAATGATCGGTTTCTAATTAAATCATTGGTGTCAAGTTCGGTTCCATTTTAAGAAACCAACATTTTTTTTACCTGAATTAGTCAGTCGGTTGCTAAATTGTTGGTACTAATTAAATTGGCCGGTGCTTACATTTATGGCTATTTATTTTTTAGTGGTGGACGATATATTCATCGACAACGAGACTCCTACAGTAATTTTGTGAATCTGAAATTATATCGGTCCAGTTTTCGAAGGTGTCCATAGGGGTAGAGATATTGGTTATTGTTACATTCAAGTCTGCTTAAGTTTTAGGTTTGTTCAGATTTACTGATATTTCTAACACAACTGACTTTCGAGGGTGTTTTCTCTTGAACCATTGATTAGTTTGCAAATCCGTTCTTTGGAGTTGTTCCTAGCCTCCTAGGTCTATCTAGTTTATTTTGCTCAATCCACCGGTTGGTTTTGGAGACAACGTGTTTTTACCATAGCTTTGTCAGATTGTTTTTTAGGTAGGCTGGTCAGAGTTGAGTAACCTATGGTCGGACCGGCCGGGCCTCGGTCAGACCGACCCTAGTAGGTCTGATAGACTGTCAGATGTGTGTTCAATTGGTTTTTGAGGTTGAGGTATGATTTGATCTTTTAAAGTTTGATAATTTGACTTTCGTTGATGTTATGTACCATTTACCCCCTTCGATAGGTTTTATTCTTCGTGTACAATCCTATAACACATCCGAGAACCACCGTATATATGCTTGTAATTAAATGACTTCGAACAGAAGTTTATAGCCACAAGAGCCTACGAAGAATTCCAATTCACTTCAAGAAGATCTCTTGCATGACCCTCCTTAGTGCCCATTCATCCGTAAGAATTGAACCATGAGAAGCATTATTGAGCTTGATCGACTTGAATCGCCCCTTCTGTCCGGGCTGCCGACGCATTTCCTCGTCGAACGCCAACATGCTAACCAGGTTGATGGAATCATCTCCGTCACCATACACTATTTCTGTCGGTTCATCGTCGAAGTTACCATCCCAGTATACGAATTGCCGTGGTGTCCTCTTCCCCACTGCATTGATGCACGTCAGCGGCACCATGGGCGCCTCGATGTAGTTCATCCGTGCGATCGTCCGTCTCCTGAAAGGCTCGATGCCATCGCTGAAACCAATGGCGGCGAGGAGATCTTCCAGATCGTACGCGGAGTAGTTCCTCCGCTTAGTGACCACGATCGGCTCGTGCCCAAACACCCCGGGAGATGGAACATTGACAATGCTCGTCTCGAAGCTCCTCCACATTGGCCTCAGAGACAAGGCCGTCGTGTTCGCGACGTGGAGGAGATCTTTCGGCCCGGAGACGAGGTTCCTCACGGTGGGCACGAACCCCGTGGAGAGCGTAGGTGCGACGAGGAAGAGATGCTCAATGTACTTGTCTCGCCACGCCGACGGTGTGTTCCTGACGAACTCTAGCGCCACCATTCCACCGAGGCTATGCCCGAGGATGATGGCCTTCTTGTTGTGATGCTGCTTCTCGCTTGCTGTCTCCACGAGCTCCATGAACTCCCTGAAGTGGCGCGAGTAGACTTGGGACGCCTGGCCAGGGATTGGAGGAGCGTAACGGATATCGTAAGGAACTCCGTACATGTTGTCTCCGTCACGGTATCCCATCTCCTCCAGCGCCCCTATAAGACTCGCAAGGCACCATTCTCTGCACGCAGATCAGAGAATTAATTAATATAGTGAGAACAGCATTAGCGTACGTAGGCAGGATTGTTTTTAATAACTGGAAGGTGACCCGCGCGCATGCGCGGGCACTTATGTTATTGAAATGCAAGATTTTTATTATTTGTTTAAAAATTTTGTCTCATATATTAATGGCAAACTAAAGTTCGGATACTGTTATTTTGTAATAATTTAAGAGTTCTATTTTTCTTAAGGTATCTTAAAAATCCATTCACAAACTTTTGAGTAGGAGATGGATTAAATACTTACGACATTTGAATTATGTTTTTTTCTCGAGTAAATAATAAACTATTGCTTGAAGTATGGCTACAAATGAAAAATGTAAGAGCAAGATAATCAAAATTCTTGTGATTAAATCGTCTCATTTAGGTGCATGATATTGTAAGAAAGGGAGGGAAGCGTATACATGGAGAAAAAGAAGAAAGGAAAAAATGAAAAAAAAAGGGAGGGGAAGCATAGGTACCCACGTACGTAGGTGTGTAAGGTGGAGAGGTGGGACCTCGTAGTATCTAGTTTCTTCTAAGATCAATTTAATCTAATGGTTTATAATATTGGACTCACCGATTTAAGTGAAAATCAAGTAATAGATACTTTGCTTTTTTTTTTCTTAGAATTTATAATATTTTCTCTAATTTATTAGAGCACCACGTGATAGCTTGAGGGTATTTTAAGAAATTTTAATGGACTTAACTAATTAGAATATGAACCGTGTAATATATATGTATGTGATATATGTTAATATTCATTCTAGCTTTGTCCATATTTATATACATGTAGAGAGAAATTAAATATATTGCTAGCAAGCCATTAGATGTATAATTAATAGAAATTAATTTTGACACCTATTTACAATTATTCATAGCAGCTCTTACAGATTCATGTTACGACTTTGATTATGCGTTGATCACCAATTTACTGATCACCATGACTCGCATGAAAAATATATGTAGTACTTAGGGTTTAGGACAACTGAAATTGATGAGTTATCTGATTTATGTGATAGCTATTTGAGATTATAAACGAATAAATTAACTTCTAAAAAGTTAAAAGGTTGTTTAAGAAAATCACCATTTAGGAACTTGGAAAGCGTGGAGCGTGCAAACGAAAATCCAAAAGAATAGAGCCTTAAACTCCCTTATAACACTCTTGTCCTATTAGGAATTCTATTAATATGCGTTAATATTGTACTCAAATTTATATCATAATGATTTCTTTCAACTGTACGAACAAATAATACAATATCCAAATACAACATAACACAATACATTATAATTATTATGTAATCATCTCTCGATTTCAGCTTAAACAGAGCTAAGTGTTCCTATAGTGCTTAATTCTTCTCTCGCTGCAACGCACCTTTAATTTTATTTTCATGTTATTGACAAAAGCGGTAGCGTTGCAGCGGTCGTGATCACCTAAGATGCCTCAGACACGATGCTTTGTCGCACGTGCGAAAGGCAAAGGTGCAGATGTGTTTGTGTAGCGGACCAAAAAGAGAACTTTGGACACTTTAGTTATTAACAATAGATCTGTTGATTTAAATAATGGGTCCACCAGTTGTAGTGTAAATATAAATTAGTTATATATATATATATATATTTAAATTGTTAATTTAATGGGTACACGATATGATGGTGTAGATTTTATTTTAAAACAATGCATTATTTGAGAATAATAGTCCAAAGTAATAAAAAATATATCCGATGATTTAAATAATGGGTCCATTTGTTTAAGTACACGTATAAATTAGTTAATATAGATCTTAAATTGTTTATTTGATATGTACACAATATAATTGTGTAAAATTTATTTTAAAATAGTGTATTATTTGAAAATAATAGTACAAAGTAACGAGTACACCGGTTTAAGTGGAAAATATATTGATTTAATGGGTAAACATATAATGGTGTAAATTTTATTTTCAAAGATTGTAGAGCTAATTTAGTTACCTGTGTTTATAAAGAATTATATGATGGTATATTCTTTGTTTGTAAAATTATGTTTATTTAGAAAATATATATCAATTGTATAAATGGAAAAAGGAAGAAAAAAAGTAAAAAAAAATTGGAGGGAATCGTACGTACTACATACCCATGTACATATGTGACCTAGGTGGGATTCATCGTATTTAGTTTGTTTTTAGATCAATTTCATTTAACGGTGTATAATATTGGACCCACCAATTTAAGTAAAAATCAAGGGTAGATGTTTTGCTTTTTTTTAGAATTTATAGGATTTTCTCTAATTTATTAGAGTGCCATGTGGCAGCTTGAGAGTATTTATAGGAAGTTTAATGGACTTTTAGTATATAATAATAGAAGATGGATAGATAGATAATAGATTTCTGTAGACAAATAGTACATCATCTGTAGTTTGGTGGTCTTCCATTCCATGTCTTAAATTTGTAATCCTTTGATAAGTTTGATCGTAAATATTTTGTCCTGTGATAATTTCGTCAAACATGGCGTATCACAAAACTGCCATAAAACTAGTATACTTTGACAGAACTATATTATATATAAAACTACATATTTAGAATCATATTTATCAAAGAACTATAAACTTAGTAATAAAATTATCACAAAACATGTATATATTACGGGTGTGTAGGGTTCTTCGAGCGGAACCCTCTCGCAATGCCGAAGTTGGCCACGTGGGTCCTAGACGAGGCTCATCTGCTCCTCGAAGCACTCGCTGTAGTGGTGCGTCGAGAGGTCCGAGCTGTTCTCCCACAGCCCGAACCAACCCTTCCCCTTCAACGCGCCGCGCCGCACCTCGCCACCGACGGCCGGTATATATGCGTCGGTGAGCCACGCCCCCAGGTTGCTGCAGCTAGCCCCAGGCACAACGAAAATCGGGTGGAGCTCGCCGACGCCGACATCGTTTGGCCGGTGGTGGCTTGGCCAGAAGTGCTCTCGAAGGGGGAGAGGGAGCAGCAGCCGCAGGAGTGGAATGGATGCCATGGGGGTGTGGGTGGAGAGTGTCTCTCTAGGTTTGATGGCTTGAATTAATGCAGTGCTTATAGAGGGAGTTTAGCAAAATATAACGTGGCACGACATATACAGTCATTAATCCCTCTTATGAAAATTATTTGATGTTTAAAATAAAATTAGATCAATATCTTTTAATTCCATCATCATTGGCGACGGGTGATGCGGGGTCTGCGGTGGCTGGGCTGGGGAGGCGGCGGCGGTGGAGCGACGGCGGCCAGACTGGAATATATGTGAACTTTTTTTTCAAGGATTTGTGATGAGTTTGTTTCTGAGAATTTTTGATGTATTCACTATGTGTGTGTGATGTGAATATGTGATGTATTTGTGATGTTTTTTTTTTAGAATTTGTGATGTATTTAGAGATGATGGATTTGGGGATTTGGAGATGATCCAATTTTGTTTTGTGATGATAGATTTGGGGATGCTGTGAAAAAAAAAAAACAAACCTGCCCTGGCTCCACTCTATCTTTAGGCCCGGTTGATAACATCAATCGGGACTAAAATTGGATTTTTAATCCCGGTTATTTCAACCGGGACTAAAAGTAGCTTTAGTCCTGGATCCTTAGTCCCGGCTGCATAACTGGGACTAAGGCTGCGTTCTTTTCAGATTCTCCCCACCCTCAACAGTGTTCACGGAAAACGGAGCGATCCATTAGCACATAATTAATTAAGTATCTGCTAATTTTTTTTTCAAAAATGGACTAATATGATTTTTTAAGCAACTTTCGTATAGAAACTTTTTGCAGAAAAATGCACCGTTTAGTAGTTTGAAAAGCGTGCTAACGGAAAACGAGGAGAATCTAATCCTACTAGCCTGAAAAGAACGCAGCCTAAGGGGGTTACTGTAACGCCCCGATTTTCGTTCGGGATTAAAAATCATTAAATAATGCATTTTCTAGAAATTAAATAAAATTTAAAGCAATTTAATCAAGTGAATTATTGAGGGAATTAAAAATTTCCTTTAAAAATCATTGGCCGAGAATATTTTGTAATATTCTTTGTGCTCTAAAATACTCTCCGGAATTTCCCGCGAATTTTTGGAGCTCGAGAAATAATTTGAATAGCACAAAGATCAATTAATCAATTAATTAAAAAGAAAAACAAATAAAATTCCCTCTTCTCCCTTTGGGCCGTTTCGGCCCAAAGTTTTCCTTCTCTCCCCGCGGCCCGTCCCCTTCCTCCATCCCCCCCATCCGGCCAGGTCGGCCTCCTTTTCCTCCTCGGCCCGGTCGGCCCTCTCTCTCAAAGTCTGCTTCCCCCCCCCAACCGGTCTCCTCTCTTCCTCTGGCTGACAGGTGGGACCCGCGGCCCCACCTGTCATCTCCTTCCTCCAGCCACTCCGCCGGCAACCGCCATTGCCGCCCGCGCCGCCCACGTCGCCGCCTCTCCCGCGCGGCCCCTTTTCCCGCGCGTGCGTGGGCGCGGTCTCCGCCCACGTCCGCGCCATTCTTCCCCCACTCCCTGTGAAAACCGCCGCCACCCCGAGCCCACTCACCCACGTCGCCGGCGCCCCTTTCCCCCTTCAAATCCGCCGCCAACCGGCCTCCCCGTCGACTCTCGAGGCTATAAAAACGATCCCCGTGCTCTCCTCTCCCATTTCCCCAAATTTCCCGAGCTCGCCGCGTCCTTGCCCGCTCTCCCCTCGCCAAGCCGAGCCGCCGCCGCTCGCCGGAGTTCACCGGCCGCCTTTTCCCGCTGCTCCACCCACTGCCGCACCAATCCGCCACCACCGTTGGCTTCGCGGCGCCGTGCTGCAGCACGGCCCCTACTCCATTTCCCCTCTCTGCCTCCGGAACATCGCCGCCTCGCGCACCACCTCTCTCCTCCGCCGCCGTCGCCTCCAGCAGCTCACCACCGCCTTCCTAGCCACTGCCGCGAGACGCCGCTGCCGCCACTAGTTTCACCACGCCATGCTGTACCCCGGCATCCACTTTTCCTCCCCAAACCGCCACCGAAATTCCCATTCCACCGCCAACCCGAGCCACCACCTCTACTCGCCGCCTCGGCCACCACTTCCCGTCGCCGGAGCGCCGTCTCGCCTCCATCTCGGGGAGCCCGCCGCCGACGGCCGTCGGCCGTCGCCATGCCCCATGGTGGCCACCCCTCGTCGGCGCCAACTCGGTGAGCACCCTCCTCCCTCCTTCTCGCCCTCCTTCGCCCGCTCCCCGCGCCGCCCGCCGGTCGCCGTCGCTGGTGGCCGCGCGCGCCGTCGCTCCCAGGCTCGGCCGAGCCGGCTCCTCGTCACGCCCGTGCTTTGGCCGCCCGTGGACCACTCCCGTGGTCCGGGTCCACGGTGCCGCCCAGGCCGCGGTGGACCGAGTCCACCGTGCGCCCTCCCCTTGTGCCATTGACGTGCGGGGCCCACCTGTCGGCGCGCCCCTTCCCCTTGATGACGTCAGCCGTCCCTCGTCTAGAAATTCATTTAAATGGCTCAAAACTTCTAGAATTCATACCTAATTCATTCGAACTCCGAATTGAGCCGTTCAACTTGCAAAATTCATCTAAAATTGAGCTCTACATGTTTGTTTACTTTTTATGTACTGTTTCCTTGGTTTTTATTAGAGTTTTTCCTCGTTTTGCGTGCCAACGTGTAGTTTCGTCGTTTCGGAAGTCCGCGGTCGCTAGGAAAAGAGTTCGGAAGATTGTTTGAAGAAGCAAGGCAAGTCACACATTTCCCTTGAGCATGTTGATCCCAATTTACTAATGTTTTACCGTTTACAAATAAATATGCATGTTTTGCTAATTACATTGGATCCGGGTATTACCTATCTGCTTGCTTGTGCCATGTTTACTTGATATCTGTTCTTTGTTAACCTTGGGTAATGAATCGACTAGCTCATGTTACTTATGTGACCTAGCTAGAACTATATGCTTAGCCATGCTTAATTACCACTAGCTCAGTTGAAGGGATAATTACAGTATTAGACCTTTTTAGTATCAGAATGAGCTGCGTGCTCGACACATCTGGCCATGCTTCATGGTCGTAATTATCCAACTAAAATGCGACTGAATGGTGGGCTGTGGGTGCATGGTTTTGCTAGTCGCACCCATGGCAATTAAGGACCGGTTCGTGGGAAACCTTGGAAGAATTTATCGTGCTTACCACAAGCCAGCGTGGGCAACGGCTGGGCTTGTAGTGTAGCTTTCCTCTAGCTGACGCATCCAGGCAAGGGTGGGCGTGATGGAGTTTGGATGGGCCCTCGACGGCCTATGCGGCTTTCGGATTCACCTAGGCACGAGAGGGGACTGCCCGCTGCCTTACGAGGAGTGGGGGTGAAACCTGAGGTGTGGTGTGCTTGGTTGGAGGGGGTTATGCGAAGGGTCCTGTCACAGCCTCTTTCCGGTATGTCGTGGTGGCATGCCGGCGCACGGAAACGTGTCGTGGGGCTGTGTCTTGTGGGTACAGTTGTACACCTCTGATCAGAGTAAAACTATTCGAATAGCCGTGCCTGCGGTTATGGGCGGTCGACCAGATTCACCGTGATTAGTCTCACACTTAATATATCGACCCAATGCACTGTAGTTCAGGTGGGTTGGTTGGGCCTATTCAACGTGGTGTAGCGTTGATCAGTGGAGATTTAATGTTACTTTAATTACTCAACAGTTTTACTGTTTTCTCAATAAAATGTTTTACAACCGCCTTTATGCAAATAGCCACAAACCCCTTTCTGTATCCCCTTGCACGTCTGCATCGTTGGTGTGGCTTGCTGAGTACGGTGGTTGTACTCAGCCTTGCAATTATTTCCCCTTTTCAGAAGTGTAGTGCTTCTGAGCTGAAGACGAAGTTAGAAGACCAAGGCTCAGACCCCAGTTGAGTTTTGCCTGTGGAGTGGAGCTGAAGCCCCGCTAGGATCGCCTTTTTCCGCTGCTGTCGTTCTGTTTCGGTGTGAGGACTAAGTGCCTCTCCTGTAAGTATTTTACGCTGTATTTACGTTTAGAACTATATATTACTTGTCGTTTTGTGTACCCTGGCTGGTTCTAGACAGGGATTTAATACGCAAAATAGTCTGGAAATTTGGGCTAAATTTCTAGACGTGACAGTTACAAACCGGGGTTAAAAACCCTTTCTCCACCAGTGATATTCACATAGAAAATGATGATCAATATTTTAAAAGTTTAACCTTGTATACGTCTAATATTTGTGATTGTAGGGAATTTGTTATTGGGACTAACAAGTATAGATTTCCAAATGAGCTGTTCGGCTCGAGCACAACCGGGCTCAGGTCCGATATTAGTTGGGACGACACGGGACGACCTACACGCCGGGTCGGACCGAGTTCACCCATTTGCTGCACCAACGGCGCAGGCACGGCACAATAAGACTCATGCCGTACCGGATTGACCCAAAGGCACGAAAACCCATCGTGCTCTTCTTGAAAAAAGTCTTTATTTTACCTCCCTCATTTCTTTTGGCCGTGTCTTATATGCTGGATCAAGTCTATTTTGCATTTCTCGTCTCTGTGGGCATCTCTTATATGGTTAGGGAATAAGTCTATTTTGCTTTATATGGCTTGAATAAGTCTATTATTGCTCCCTCGTCTATTTTGCTTGGTGCAGGGCCGACCCATCATGCCGAGGCTGATGCCTAGGCATGGTCCAAAGGTCGGGCCGGGCCAACACAGGCCCAACACCAGTCAAACCGTGCCGTGCTTGGGTCGGCCATCGGGTCCTGAGCTTTTTGCCAACTATACTAACAAGCATATGCTTGTCCAATCTTGGTTTCCATATAACTTGGCAACTAATTGCGGTTGGTAGGATTTGTGGCTGACCATGGATCTGCTTGTTATCTGTTATCCTCGTCAAGTTGATAATGATAGCACTGGTCACTACCCTCCTTAATTGAGAGAAGTGTACATATGTACTATATCGTAAACCTCACTTCAATGTCTCATTACTAGGCACATCTCAGTTTTAGGTTGGCTTAATGAGAGGCAAATTAAGATCAATTTTCGCGATATGAATATTTCCGACATGGCAATTAATGGGACATATGTGTGTGTGTGTGTGTGTGTGTGTATATATATATATATATATATATATATATATATATATATATATATATATATATATATATATATATATATATATATATATATATATAGACACACACATATCTATCTATCTATCTGTATCTACGCTTTGTATAATTTTTATCTCTGATCGACTATTGATAAAAAAAATATATAAACCATTTGATGATGTGTTTTATAACAATTTAAATCATATATGAATTGATCATTTAAAAACAAAAGACACAAGGTAATACTCCCTCCGTTTCATATATGAATAGATGTTAATGAATCTAGACATATATAGACATATATATATATATATATATATATATATATATATGTTTAGATTCATTAACATTTATATGAATGTGAGCAATGCTAGAAAGTCTTATAATATGAAATGGAGGAAGTACAAACTAATCATCAAAAACAAAACTAAGGTGATATGATTTTATAATAGAAGAAATGGGGGGGGGGGGGGGAGAGAGAGATTTTAGACCCTAGATCAACCATCCAAGGGATAAAAACAATTGAGGTGGTTTGACTTAACGAGAGAAAAAGAGGTAATTGGGGTTCGGCCCAGATTAGCGGATGAAAAAAAAAACCCAGAAATATATCATATATTAATACATCTTCTCATATTTTTTTTCAATTTTTTTATACTTATTTAAGTGACATGAAAATAAAGAGTAGACAGCTTAAAATCCGTTCTCCATATACTACCTCCGTTTTTTAATAGATGACGCCATTGACTTTTTCTCATATGTTTGACCATTCGTCTTATTCAAAAATTTTATGCAAATGTATAAGATATAAATCACACTTAAAGTACTATAAGTGATAAAACAACTCATAACAAAATAAATTATAATTACGTAATGTTTTTGAATAAGACAAATGGTCAAAGATATGAGAAAAAGTCAACGGGGAGTATAATATATGCCATTTTAATCAGGTGATTCGTGGCTGGTAGGAGCGAAACTTACGGGTTAAAAACGTCCTTGCTGCCAAACGACCGTACGGAGCCGAAGTTGGGCACCCGGGTGTCGACGCCGGGCAGGTTCCGGTACTCGTTGGCGGCGGGGTCGTAGACCAGGGCCATCTGCTCCTGGAAGCACTCCGCGTAGTCGTGGGCCTGCAGCTCCGTGTTGTTCTCCCACAGCCCGAACCATCCCTTCCCCTTCATCGCGCCGCAGTGCGCCGCCGACGGCCGGTACGCCTCGGTGAGCCGCGCCTCCACGTTGCTGCAGGTCGCCCCGGGCACCAGGAAGATCGGGTGGAGCTCACCCGCATCGTCCTGCGGCGTTGGCCGGAGGTGGCTCGGCGCCCAGAGGTGGTCTCGGATCAGGGGAAGCGGGAGCAGCAGGAGCAGCAGCCGCAGGAGTACTGGAATGATAGTTGCCATGGATGGATTATTGCCTCTGCAGGTCTGATGCCTGAACGTCTCTGTGGATCTCTGGTTCCTTGATATAATGCTGCGTGCCGCAGAGTCGGGCTACATGCCTACTCCCTTTCTTAGTGAAAGTTATTTAGATTTGATTAAATTTATAAAAAAAAGTAATATTTATAATATTAAATTAGTTTCATTGGATGTAACGTTGAATATATTCTGATGATACGTTTATTTTGTGTTTAAATATTAGTATATTTTTTTTATAAACTTGGACTAAGAAAAAAGGGTGAATAGCCAAAGGGGTCCCTATCAAATTCATAGTTGTCCCTATCAAATTTATGCTTAAATAATAAGAAAAAGAGAAAAAAGATTACAAATTTATAGTTTGTACGTTGTAGAATAGCTGCACGGGTTTGAACAAGTTTTTAATACACGATATTGTTGATTTTTTAACACACATTTAATCATTCGTCTTATTAAAAAAATATTATTATCTATTTAGTTTTGTTGGGAGTTGGTTTATCAACTAAGACATTTTAAACATGACTTAAATTTTCATATATTTACATAAAATTTTTGAATAAGACAAATGATGAAATATACGTAAAAAAAGTGAACGACACCATATTTTAAAAGCTGGAAGAGTAGGTGTTAGAGAGGTGTGCCAAATATTAATTGATGATATATTTGTTATATAAATAGACTACTCCCTCCATTCTTTGGCCCTCTTTGTTTAGGCTTAGGTTTATTGGTCTAGACTTTTAAGTCAGCTTATTGGCTTATATGATTTATAAGCCGGTAGATTTAATGTCCTAAGTTTAGTGGTTGAGTCATGCATCTACCTCATATAAGCCAAAAAAGCTTCTCCAACCTAGCTTTTGGCTTAATAGTGTTAGAGTGGCTTATGGCTTCAAAAAAGCCAAATGGAAAAGCTGCTTGTTTGTTTAGGTTTAGACTTTTCAACTTATAAGTTGGCTTATAGATGATGCCGTTGACTTTTTCTCACATGTTCGACCATTCGTCTTATTCAAAAAGTTTACGTAATTATAATTTATTTTGTTATGAGTTGTTTTATCACTCATAGTACTTTAAGTGTGATTTATATCTTATACATTTGCATAAAATTTTTGAATAAGACGAATGATCAAACATATAAGAAAAAGTCAACGGCGTCATCTATTAAAAAATGGAGGTAGTATTAAATTAGCTACACATGATGTGTTGAATTTTACATCTAATAGTTTTTTATACTAAGAATTAAACTTGCCTGTAAGGCTGTAAATTTCGTGTAACGTGTATTACACCACCTAGCAGCTTTGGCCATGCACGTCGCAGGACCACTGGCTAGATGTCACGAAGCATGTGCTATTCTATTTATTATTTATAAGGATAGCTCGAGAAAGACACTATATTTACTTTAAAGGACTTAAAGTTACTCCCTCGTCTTGAAAAAAAACAAATCTAGTACTGGATGTGACACATTGTAGTATAACGAATATGAACAGATGTATATCTAAATTCGTAGTAGTATGATGTATCACATTTAATACTAGTTGGTTTTTATTGGACGGAGGGAGTTCTCCTGTATCTCTACAAGTGAAAAGATAATCATGAGGTGATCCTGGGATGAATCACGTCAGTGAGACTTAGAGCACCCGCAATGGTAAAGTAAGGTGCTATCTATAAAACATGTACATCTCAGCAATAGACTAGATTAATAGTAAACCATCTCAATAGTATGTCTACATGGGTATCTATAGCTCTCTAATACATTGTCTCGTTTTTCTCTATAAACTATCTCCAGGTTAGTAGATAGCTTTGCTCTCTCTCTTCATTTAATCTCTTTCAAGTAGGAAAATATGCTGACATGGATATCTTATAGAGAGCCTATAGATAACCATTGTGGGTGCCCTTATGAGTAAATAATAGCAGTCAGATAGAGCAACGGTAACAAAAAACCAACTGTTGGATATAGAATCAGTCCTGGTCACAGAAGTAAAAAAGTTCTGAACGTGGCCTGGCTTCTAAACAAATCAACCTGAACAAACACGAGGGAAACGAAGTTCTGAACGTGGCCTGGCTTAAACAAAGCATCCTGATCCCTCGAAAATAAAAAACAAAGCGTCCTAAACCTGGACAAACACGAGGGGAACGGACGAGGCATCTGGGATGTGTTTTGCTAATGCCCTTATAGCACAATGAATTTGTCCCACCTAGGCACCGGCTTAATGGCAGCAGCTAATCAAATTATTATCTACCTTACCTTTTAAGCTAGAGATATTAAAATAATTTTCAAAAACAACATAGAGTTATGTTAATTTCACGTATTATCATATAATACCCCATGCATATATAATATATGCATATTTAGTTTATAATGTGAAAATAAAGTTTACGAAAACATCTACAAATCTACCGTAATCATGTTGAATTAAATGTTTCGATTAAAATATTCTTCATTACAAACAAGAAGATTTAATTATTTTCCAAATTTAAGAAAATCACATCCAATAGAGAAGAGGTTATACTCGTGCGTGCGGAATAATTGGAATCAAAGTTCTCATTTAAATTCATAGCTTTATTTGACGCTAAATGTATTCGGTAAATGAAGATCAAGGTAACACGAAGGCACAATATTTTACACAAAAGTAGAAAACATCCATTTAGTGGTATACGATATTACTCATGTTTACAATTGTATCCATTAGGAATTTTGAAATAAAAAAATAATTCTTTGCTTATCTGCTCACATTTAATATACAAAATTTATGATCTGTATTTATAGTAAATTTGAATTTAATACAACATAAGCATGGTCAAATTAAAAATGACAACATGTACATGGTAAATTTGATAGGACGACATGCACATAGTAAATTTTCTACGATATAAATTTACATAAACATTGTAAATTTAGAAAAGTTGCTTGGCTGTTTTTTCAATATTCCGTACCTTTTATTCTGAATTCTAGTAATTTATAAATTATATTTATACTTCAATTCTCATTTTTATTTTCCTAATTTAGAAATTTTCTTTTTTTTCTAATCTTAATTAATCTTGTTTTGTGTTTTACAGGGATTATTATTTTAATATTCCTTATTAATTTTATTCTGAATTTTTGTTGTTTTTAAATTGTATTTCTATTTGAACTTTTTTCTCCGATTAATACGGGAATTTCTGGTCTATGTAATTATTTTTAAATTGTATTATGAGTTGAACTCTTATTTTCTTTTTCTCTTATTAATGTGGGAATTTTTAGCCTACACAATAAACGGGGTGTCTAGACTGTTTTAATACTACAACAGATTGGTGGTCGAATTTCAAAAGGTTAATCAAAGCCTCATTCTTAGACGTAATATTCAGAAGTTATGACTAACCTATCGTTTTTTTGCACCGAATTGTGGTAGGTGGTATTCATGGCTAAGCATGATCGACGTGACAAGTACTTGTACAGGAGTACAACAAGTGTGGCGGTATCCATCCTCCACTTGTACAGTGGGCAGAGCTAGTATATATTAGGGGGTGCCTAGAATCTGGTCAAGAAAATTTTTTAGCTATAACTCATCTATTTTCACTATGCATACACCCCTCAATACAAACTTAGACACCCATATCAGCTTAAACTCAATCTAAAGTAGAGTAAATTAAACAAGTGACACTATCATCTGCTTCGCTCTCCTGCTTGTACTTGTACTTTGGCACTGTTCATGTACGTACTTTGGCACGTGAGGACGCACGCACGAGACGGCGTTTCAACCGCCGACAATTTCCGTGACACGCATCGTGAGGCGTTGCCGTAGTGAGGAGTCCTGCTCGAACTCTGATTTGGGGAAAAAAAATCAGCTTGTGCAAGCCGTCGTGTGCCAGTAGTTTAGGGTGATATTTTGTTACACGTTTTGAAGAAAAAAACTTATGAGCAGTAATATTGGAAAATTAAAATAGAACATCAGCTTGTGCAAAGCTTTTTGAACGATCGTCGATCTGGTGAATAAACTGAAAAATATTTGTGCTGCTATTTGACTACATTTTTTACATCTTTCCACTATGCTTATTTATTTTATATGGCACATGTAAGCATGTTTATTAAATTTGTACAAGGAACATGTATTTTATTTTTATTGTGAACCAGGAATTATTATATTCAACCCCGGTAACTCTTGTTGTATTTGAATGGCCACATATTTCTTTTTGTTGTTCAATTTAATTAATTCATTCAGACACAAGCCAAACGCTTTCTTCCAGTAACACGTGGGAAAAAAACATAGCACGTAATGGAGATGAGACTCAGTTGTAACATGATTGTACATAAACAGATAACGATAAAAGAAATAAAGACACTCTAATTTAATAAATAATAGATACTAGTCTGATTGGAGATGACATGCGCGTCTCAAGTGATTGTAGACAACATCGGCAATGCAGTCACGCAATGCTCTCATAGCTTGCTCCCTATTTGTTGCGTAGTACATATGACTGAATGATGGATGCTTCTGTACAATGGGATTATTGTTGTACAAAGGATGATTATGCCGGTAGTTCACATCGCGACTATCCTTCCTGAAATTGTGTAGAGCAAAAGCTGCTTTTATGATGCGTGTGTGAACTCGGTCGTCGTCGTTATGTGGTATTTCTTTGAGGATTTTCCATTGTTTTTTAACGATCCCAAATGTTGTTTCAATAACACTTCGCAATGAGAAGTGTCGATGGTTAAATTTCTCTTCCCGTCCAACTGGTTGCGGTGCACGAACTCCACCAAGAACATCCATGTGGTACCGTACATGTGGGTACGGTGTCAGAAAACCCATTCTACTAGGAAATCTGGAGTCCGTAAGTAAATACTTTCCTACAAAACATATGATAAACATAATTGCATAAATGCTCAATTATTAGGAGTGGTAATAAATGCTCTCTTATTTCAAAATTTTGGATAGTCACTTTGCGGTAACCTAGGAAAATTGTCCGGATAATATTGCATTGCTTGATTCAAAACCCTTTGATCGTGCACCGAGCCTGGCTATTCAGTATCAAGGAACATAACTCGACCGTCGTGATCACATACAACTAGAACATTTCTCGTCGTCACATGGTGCCGGTTCCTGTTTTCGATAGACGTGGCTACTGATGCCACGATGGACACATGTGTGCCATCCACAGCACCAACTGAGTCATAGAATGGTCGGAATTTGTTTCCTTCAAGCAGCCTAGGATGAGTGTACGTGAAGTTGGGATCAACAGGCTTCAATATATTCCCAGCCAACACGTGCATAGCGTTCAACACTCGGTTAAAATAGATCGAGACTGTTGAGCTCGAGCGGACCCACCGGTTGTTGGTGTCTCTGTTTGGACCGTTTCCTGCCATAGTATACAAGAACATCCCAAGTGCCTCAAGACCACATACCTCCCATGATCCATGAATGTGGTATTTACCACTCAGGAGGTCATGTAAACTGTATATCTGCTCGGCCTTCAATCGGAACATGGACTTGCATTGCCTCGGATTCGCCATCATTTCCAGCATCCAACTGATACCGGTCTGAACCGGAACTCGTCGTGCAGCTCTCTGATTGAGCTCAAGATTGCAGGCTAGCCATCATCGTCTGTTTGTTATTACGGTCATGTCATAGAATTAACGTGTGATTGGTGTAGGAGGCAGCGAAAACAATTGAGATGGTAATGTCTCATGCTACACCCTCTTTTTTTCGGGGAAATAGGGAATGTATTACTCAGGAGAAGCTTCCTCACACGCAATATGTGAGATAAAGTTACAAGTATTTCCTGGCCAGAGCTCGGACACAGATTCGCATCGAGCCTTATTCACTAAAATATAGCTAATACAGTTTTGGCTGCTTTGGCCCTTGATGAATTTAATCTCCCTATTTCCTATTAACAAGTCCTTGACCTCACGGATCGGAAAGGCTAAGTCCGAATATATCACTAGTAGAGAAACAATTTTCTTGGACGAGGAGCTATTTAGTTTACAGACGGACCGTTTTCACGTCCGCACGCAAAAATCGGCCTCCCATTTTCGTGTACGGGCCTGTAAAAAACCTGCCTACAAGTTTATCATTCCTTATCTTTTTCCTCCTCAACACTTCAAAATTTCATCTCATCCACCCATCCTCATCCTTATCCTTTCTAGCTATTCTCTCTCTCACTCTCTCACCTCTCTATCCTCTCTCACTAGATCTCTCCCCTCTCTTTCACTCTTCCTCTCTATCTCACTCTCTAACCTCTCTATCCTCCCTCACTCTCTCACCTCTCTCTCACTCCCGGATATGGATGGCGCGGGCGCGGCCGGTGGCACGGCGCGGTTCGGCGGCATGCGCGCGGAGGCGACCTGTAGCGGCGGGCTCGGCGGTGCGTGCGTGCGGTGGCGGTCAACCGTGATTGGCAGGCTCCGCGGCGGGCTCGCGGTGGTGAGCGACAGGGAACAGTGGGCTCGGTGACGGGCTCACGGTGGCGGGTGACGGGGAACGGTGGGCTCGTAGCGGCGGACGACCGCCCCCCGCCCGGATCCGGCCACAAATGGATGGAGTTCTCGGCCATGGAGATGGACTCCTTCATGTTAATGCCGGCGTGTCAGTGAGACAGAGCACGAAAGGATCCAAGATTCCAAGTTGAGCTGAAGCGGCCAGGATGACCCACTGTTGGCGAGGGTGGGGGGAGGTGAGGGATGATGACATGTACATCATGGCGCATGTGGCATGTGGATGATGCTCCTACTACTTGTTTCGCTCCGGGGAGAGGCGGCCAGGCGGTGATTGAAGAGCCCCAACCATCACCGGGGAGCTATGGATCAGGCTTGCGCAGCAGCTGCTGCTTGTTTCTCTCTGGGGATCCAAGGTGGAGATGAGGGATGAGGACGCCACATGTGGCGAGCTTGGCCAGCGGTGCAACTCGTCCTACACCACTCCATCGTCGACATGGGTCAACATGCCACGTAGATGCTACGCCAGCGAAAACCGTCGTCTATACTGCCCTGATAGTTATTTTGCATCAGTTTTAATAGTTGAAAGAGTCATTATACCTGATTTTGTGATTCGGGGATACAAATCATATCCGAGATATATTTGAGAGAGTTAGATTAGAATTTTTCCTTAAAAAAAGTTGGGCCACATTAATAATTCGAGAGAAGTTGGGCCCATCCTCGCAACCCTTTTCGGCTCTCCGCTCGCACCACCACCGATCTCATCGAATCACCTCCTCGAGACAACAAGGGGAAGTGCGGAATGGAGCTAAGTTTCTTTACCCAAACAACTTGGTTATGAGGGTTTCTATTTCACTGGTATTTCTGGTCACCAAAATTTACAGGTGTTTCCTTTACACGTGAGAAAAAAGAAAAACGATAACTCCTAAGCAGGCCATAAAGTTTTATTGTTTGAAAAAATAGCAACAAGTTACCCCACAAATGCATAGAACAACAAAGCCACCACAATTCCACATGTACTTTCTCGGTTTTATAATAGCGTCGTTTTGATTTTTTGCCTACTCAATTTTTTTAATAGTTTTGATCAAATATATAAAAAAATAAATATTTTCAATATAAAACAAACATATTATGAAAATATATTCAGTGTTATATTTAATGAAACTAATTTGGTGTTATATATGTTACTAAATATGTTGACTTAGTGAAACTTAAGATTATTTTTTTAAAAAAAATAAAGCGACTTGCACATTACGAAAAGAGTATTACATCCGTTTCAATATATATTATAAGTCGTTTTAACTTTTTTCTGACTCAACTTTTTAAATGTGATCAAATTTATAGAAAAATATAGCAATATTTTTAACACAAAACAAACATATTATCAAAGTATATTAAATAACTAATTTGATGTTGTAGATATTGCTAATTTTTTCAATAAACTTATTCAAATTTAAAGAAGTTAAAAATATTAAAACGACTTATGATGTGAAACTGAAAAAGGAAGTAAGGTAGTATTTCTTCCATCTTATAATATCGAGGCGACTACGGATCGGGTGCCCGATTTTTTTAGAAAAATCAGGCGCCCACGTCATCATGATGTCATCTTGCATGCATGCATCTAAGCGAACTTTAAAATATTTATTCTCTTAAATTATTTATCCAAATCATGATCCGATTGTACCATTAAATCCGTTGCAATTAAATCTTTAAAACAAGACCACACATGGATATAATCCAATGAAAGAAATAGCTCATTATAGAATTATATTTAAATATTGCACGCTGTTACACCAAGTATATCAGAATTGTTTCACTAATTAGATCAAAAATGTTTCATCGGACGCTGTTTGACCTTATATATGAAAACAATGTTTCAGCAAATAGTGAAAGAATGTTTCAATTCACTGCAACATTTAATCCATACATAGCGAAACATCACGAGCATACTAGGTGAAATATTTTTGGTGGAACAAAAAATGAAACGGATTTCCTTAACAGAGGATTTCCATAATATCCATAATATATGGGTAATTTATTGCAAAAGAATGTTTCAATTCACCGCAACATTTGATCCGTACATAGTAAAACATTGTGAATACACTAAACGAAACATTTTTGATGGAACAACAAATAAAACGGATTCACTTTACAGAGGCGATTTATTGCAACGGCCTGCGTGGTGGGGACACGTGGCAGGAGCGGCGCAGGACACGTGGTGAGGGTGGCGCGCGGGGGGGGGGGGGGTGGGGGAGGTGGGGTTGCAGCATCGGGCTCCTGATTTGAGGCATTTTCCTTGTAATATAGCAAACTTGGCAAGCACTGAATAAAACACATGCGAATCTTAGGCAGGGATGATGTGTCCAATGGAGGTACGTACTAATAACCAGTCCTTGTCGTTGTATAGGACCTGAGCTGCTGAATGAAAGCGTCGATGCACCTCTCGTGACACTCCGTGTCGGCCACCACCTCCCCCATCTTCCCGGCGTTGGCGGCGAGCGCCTTCTTGCTCTCTTCATCCACCACGGCGGCCCGGACGGCTGCGGCGACGCCGTCCCGGTCGAAGGCGCCGCCGTGCTCGCCATCCCTGGCCACCTGCACCCCAACCCCTCTCGCCCCTTCCAAGTAGCTCGCGTTAGTGAACTGGTCGAGGAACAGTGGCAGCATGACGAGAGGATGGCCGAACCGGAGCCCCTCGATGACGGAGCTGTGGCCGCAGTGCGTCAGGAAGGCGCCCACGGCGGCGTGCGCCAGGATCTTGAGCTGGGGCACCCACTCCGTCTTCACCATCCCGCGCCCGCGCGTCCGCTCCTCGAATCCCGGAGGCAGGAGGCCGCCGTCGTCGTCGCCGCCGTGAGGCTTCCTCAGGGCCCAGAGGAAGGGCGCGCCGGAGAGCTCCAGCCCGAGCGCCAGCTCGCGCCGCTGCTCCGCGGTCAGCGGCGCCTCGCTCCCGAGCGCGACGTAGACGACGGACTTGGGCGGCTGCCTGTCGAGCCACGAGGACATGAGAGCTGTGTCGCCGTCGCCGTCGCCGTCAACCTGCGGCGGCGGGAGAAGGCCGATGGGGACGACCGGCTTGCCGAAGATGTTCGACAGGAGAGGCACCGACTCGGGCTCGAACTCCACGCAGCTCCGCACGGCGAGAAGCTCGCTGCTCCGGAAGGCCGAGACGAACCGCCGGGCTATGGCGGAGGGGAAACGGTCGGCGTCCCGCGCCTCATCCGGCACGCCGAAATGCGCGCACGCCGTCGCCGTGTACGGCATCATGAGGACGCAGGGAACCTTGCGGTCGGCGGCGGAGGCGGCGGCCCAGGAAAGCATGCCGTCGAGGATGAGCCAGTCGACCTTGTTCCCCGCGGCGGCGGCGGCGTCGAGGAAGGCGGAGAAGGGCGCGGTGAGCCCATCGGAGGCCTTCCAGAGAGCGGATGACATGTGATCGGGGACGTCGGTGGTGGCCTCGGCGCCGTCGGGGAGGCCGTCGACGCGCGGGAGCGGCAGCTCGACGAACTCGACGGACGGGCACGGGCGGCGGAGGCGAGCGATGTTGCGCGGGGTGGAGACGAAGGACACGCGGAGGCCGCGCGAGGCCAGGCGGCCGGCGAGCTCGAGGGCAGGGAGGAGGTGGCCGAACGCGAGCCACGGGAAGACGACGACGTGCAGCGGGGAGGCATCCATGGTGCAGCTTGTGAAGTTTGAGGAGAGAAGATTAGAACATATAATGGCAGTCGCCGTACGGCAGTGCCACTACCTCCGCATCAAAATGAGTATAGCTATGGGCACCCGTGTACAACGTGATTGTCCGTCTTATCTACAAAATTTATAAAAAAATTAAAAATAATTAGTTATATAGTACTGCTAATGTTTTATCATCTAACAATAATAAAAATATTATTCACAGAAAATTTTTAAATGAGATAAACGGTTAAATGTTGGACATTAATGGTGTAAAATAATACTTATTTTCAAACGGAGGGATTACTAGTTATTTCAACTTTTGAGTAATGGCATCAGCAATGTATGGGTTACAACCAGGCATTATGGTGGGCCCCAGGTGGGTCCCGCTAAACATATTTCATCCCTCACAATGTATATGAGAGGAAGGAGGTATTAAGGTGGGCCCCACATTTTAATAAAATACCTATTACCATCTCAATCACCCATTCTCTCTCCAGCCACCCAAAATTTCCCCACCTGTTCGGCCATTCCCCACCCCACCGACGACGACGACGCTTGCAGACAACGACGCCGGCAGCTCGCGTGAGCGGATCCGTGACGACGGTGGTGCTCGCTGCTGGCGGCCCGCAGATCGAACCGCCGTGGAGGCGCTCATCGGAGGAGGAGGCGTCGGAGCAGAGCTTGCAGATGATGACGACGCCAGGTCGTGAGCGGATCCTCGATGGTGGCGGCGGCGGCGGCACTCACGTGAGCGGATCCACGGAGGCGCTCGCGGACGGCGTCGGCAGAGCTCGCGCTCGCGGATCCGCGGCGGCCCTCGCGAACGGCGTCGGCGGCACTCACGGGCGGTTTCGGCGACAGATCTCCGGCGGTGGAGGTGGGGCCTGCGCGCGAACTCCAGTGGCAGATCTCCGGTGGCGGTAGGGCTTGCAGCACAACTCCACACGGGTTCTCGGTACTCCCCCTTCCCGGGCCTTAATCTTCTTTGTTCCATTCCCTTGGCGGCAATCAACAGAGCTGGAGAAAGAACTAATTTTTTAATCCTTGAGACCGGTCCTTAGCCATAAGGACGGCTCATCCAAAAACCTCCTATAAGGATCATCTCCACGATGTATAACGACCGCTCAAGAGGCTTAAGGCCCCCCTTATTTTTACATTGTGCATGCCCTCATGGGTGATGGAACACGTCGGCGTCCTAGGATAATACATAGTACTGCCGATATGATTTTCTTTAAAGAAGACTATACGGAAGGTAATGTAATCACGATGTCAGCATCATATCGTAGATACCGGATATGATACATTTAAAATCAAAGAAGTATTTCGTAGATATTATGCACATCATGATACCTTCATGATGATGTCGACATAGTCCTATAGATACATAGGTATCCAGATCTAGTATCTAAAGTATCATGCTGACATCAGCATGATACTGTATATGTCAGATCCGTATCGGATATGATATCTTGTAGGTATCGGATCTGATATTTACGCACCATGCTAACATATTACGACGTCAGCTATTCCGTAGAATGGTGTTACCGATTTGTAGTATTTTTGTTTTTTTCCCTACTTGTACTTCCTCTATCCCAAAATAAACCAACCTCATACCGGATGTGACATATCCTAGTGCGATGAATCGAGCCACCATTGTGTCCAGATTCATTATAAGAGGATGTGTTAAATCCCGTACGAGTTTGGTTTATTTTAGGACAGAGGGAGTAGGTGGTAGCCTTTTCCCTTTTTTGTTTTTGCTAAATTTTGCTATAGAACAACATGGCTTTGTGATTTACTTATAGCACATCGCACAAATTGACTTTTGTGGGAAGACACTCTATAAGCATGGAAATTAGCCCATGAACACCGCGCCCATTAGAATTCTTTTCTGGTTAAATAAAAGAGGGAAATCACGTGAAAGTTATGAGCTACCCATGGACCCACATGACAGGTCTCCATTTTTCTATCTCTATCTCTCTTACCCCTTCTATTTCATCTTCCTCACGCTCTCATAGGAGGATCTCTTTCCCCTTCTACTTCTTCTTCCTCTCGCTCCACAAGAGGTCAGGGTGAGGTGTTCCTGGGCCTGGCATGCCTGGAAAAGGTGGGAGGCCAGTGTGGAGAGTGACAGGGAGAGCCACAACGACGGGTAGAGGAGCTCAGCTCCGACCGACAAGGAGATGATGGTGGTGGCGGGATAGGGTGATTAAAGGAGAGTGGAAATATGGGAAATTGATTCATCTTGGCGAGGCAGAGTTGATGGCATAAGGATTTGGCTGGTGAGGCTCGGGTAAGGGAGATCAACCGGTGGCAAGGTGGTGGTTGGCATGGTAGAGAGAGAGAGAGAGAGAAGAATAGAGCTCGGTGGTGGGGAGGGAAGGGCAACCTCGTTGTCTTGTATAGAAGGTGAGAGGCGGTGGCGCATCGCGGTTGTAGCGGAGGTCGGTGATGAAGACACGGCGACGGCGACTTGAGGCATAAGGAAGTGACGTCGACCTCGTCTGCTGATTGGCTTATCATGATGATGGCAGTTGGGTTGGCGGGCAACGTGCGCAGTGTGGCGACAACAGCAGTGATTATGATGCTTATGGATGGCAGCGGCGGTGCGCATGAATTTTCACTCTCTGAGCTCTCTTCTTCTCTATCTACCATGTGCTTGAGAAGAGATAGAGATAGAGATAGGAGACCTGGTATGTGGGTCTAGGTTATTTGAGAACTTTCATGTGGTTTGTCTCTCTTATTCAACCAGAAAAGATTATCCTAATAGGCGTGGTGTCCATGGACTAATTTCCACGTTTATAGGTGTATTTTCCCAAAAGTCACTTTGTGTTGTATTCTTCTATGCCTAGAACTACAAATTCACGATGTCTTAAAGTACAGGAAAAGTCTCTTATTTTTTTTGGACTAGTCCTCCAGTATACTAACGTCTTCTATTTCTTGAAGTCTCCTGGTACACTGCTGTATTGTGTAGTGCGTACGCTGTGGCGCGAAACATCGTGTTGGTAGATGACCTAAAGTGCTGTTTGGTTGGGCTCCTTTTGGACCGATACCCTTGCTACCTGAGAAATAAGTCCACTTCTCATCCCTCAGCTTTACCTCAAGTTATCTTATCCCCAATACTAAAAATTTTCATCTCTAAACTATACAAAATCGTGTAATTTGGATCCCACGATAGTATATATATCCTATTTTCCTCTATTTTTGCTTACATGGCAAATGTTCGAGCCCACTTGTTAGCTCGACACGAGGTGATAGGGCGTGCTACGACCTGTACACAGCATGGCACTGGCAGATGAACCAAGCGGTGAGCCGGGTGAGGATGTCGGTGACAACGGCGGTGGGACCGCGCGTATTACGCTAGGAACAATGCGAACTCCAGCTCCATCGTTTTCTCAATACAACATTATATGCCATCAAAATTTAAATTTTAAAACTTAACTTTGGAATTGATTTTAAAGTTTTTTCATCGAAGTTTATTTTTCAGTATTGGCATTTAAGTCACTAGGAAAGATACGTACCAAAATTTTACTCATAATTTTTTTTTGCTGATATCTCGTAGGGCGTATTATCCGCATCTAGCGAAACAATGAGGTCTCCACCATCGGCATTCGGCAGCGTCTCGATCTCGTAGCTCCCCTCTGTCACCATCCATGGCCGCGAGCTTGCACGGCAGCCGCTCGAACGTGTCCCGCCGTGTCTGTTAGCTTGAACACAAGATCGCGCGTGCACACACACACGATGGAGATCGAATTTGTGTTGGCACTGCACCAGCAGCAAATGCACCCACGCACACTACTGCACTTCTATTCACCACACTCTGATCATTAACAGGCTGATTACATGGCTTAAATAGCCCCACACGCACACACACACACTTAGCCATGCACGTTTAGCCGCACAACCTGGTCAATCAGTTACACAACTAACTGCACGAGTATGCAGCAGGATCACCTCCACTATTCCTGCATGCACGCACTAATTTCACCACTCACCAACTAATTTCAGTGTGTACAAGCTTGTAGTTCAGACTTCACTCATCCTTCCTACATGCACGTCCTGAACAAATCAGCGTGCAACTGCCTCCTTGACTCCAATTAGCACACTAATGACACGCTAATCTACCCAACTCCCTGCACCACTTTGTGCTTTCACTAACGGCTGATCAGCTCACCACGCCACGCAAAACACACTAGCTAATTTGGACTCAGACTACTACGTACACATGACTGAATATAATGAAAACATAAACAACAAGATTAACTCTAACATCGGCGTACGACAGGTCACCCGGGAGCATGTCGTAGTCGCCGGCGCTAGCGCCGTCGATGTGGGACAGTGTCGACGCCGTCCACCCGGTCTGCCCTAGCTAGGTCGCCAACCACGACGATCGAACTCCACGGGGCAGCCTCGCCGGAGGCGTCCTGAGTCTGAACTCATCGTCGGCCTTCTCGATCGCACCGGTACGTAGTAGTACGTCGTGCTCGGCTCCAGTGGGCCAATGGTGGCGTGGTGGATCAGCGCTGGACTTGTAGAAGAAATAGCGCGGTACATGGGTGGTCGCCCGTCGCCGACGCCGTTTACGTACTTTCCCGGCGATGTCCCGTACTCCACCACCGGACGGTGCGTTCAGGTCATCGGTGACCCAAGAAATCCTCATGTTCTTCTCCCCCAAGATCGAAATGTGCACTAGATTATCCACTTTTTTAAGAAAACCTCAAAATAGAACATAGAGTGTAGGTTTTCATTTAAGAAGAAGAGACTTAGCGTAGTTTTGGAGAGAAAACCCTCGTATAAGCATTGTTTGATGAGGAAAACCAGGCTAAACCCACATGAAGAACAAACTAACAACTTGTGACAGACTTCAAGACTTTAAGAAGGAAAACGACACCCACAGGCGTCGCCATCGTTGGCTCTAGCCCAGGATCGAGCAGTACATTCGCCCCAGCTCTCTCTGTCCCTGCCAACTACGACTACCCTAGTACATTCGCTAAAGCGGCAACAGAGTGGCAAGGCGACGCCAACCAGATGTTTGACAAAATGCCTATAAGGAACGTGGTGGAGTGGAGCTAATTAATCTAGCCAAACACTTTTGTACCCACTTTAGCTTTTATAGGAGCTAGCTCTCGCTAGAGTCGGAGTTGGGAACTATGAGTTGGAGTACCAAACGGGGCCCTAATAAGGGCTTGATTTTAACGAAGTGAACATATGGAGTTATACGCTAAATCCTTTGTTAGTGTAAAGTTATAGCCCACTAATTTCTAAAACTTAACATGCAAAGATGCCACATCATCATCCACTAACAATTATTACATTTAAATATCATACAAACATGCTACATTATATATAATTTAATAATTTATTAAATTTTATATATTTAAAATGTAAGCATGTTAAGGCTTTGTTCGCTACTAGATCTGGGTTCCTAACTCTCCCCTCTCTTTTTCCACGCGTACGCTTTTCAAACTGCTAAATGGTGCATTTTTTACAAAGAAAAAATGTATATACAAAAGTTGCTTAAAAAATCATATTGATCCATTTTTTGAAAAAAATGCTAATACTTAATTAGTCACGCGTTAATGGACCGCTCCATTATCCGTGCGTACTGTTTGGGTTGGGAAACAGAACTAACGAGCACAGCCTATAATTCACATAATATATAAATATATCTCTCCATATTTTTTATCCTATACCTTTATAGTTTATCCTTACTTGGTTCTTATTTTTTTCTTTTCTCTTATTATATCCTATCTCATCAATTTTTTTAATCCTTATACGATTATATATAATCTATGGTTAAAATTATTTATCTTTTTTATTTTCTTATTAAGCCATATCATCTCAAATTTTTATTATGGTCTAAATTATCTTCCTTTTTTTTCCTCGTAAAATCACATCATCTTACTTTCGTATTTGAATTAAATGTAAATCACATCAACTGATGTAAACTTATATTTATGGAACCGTATGTTGTTTAAGCTATCTAGTACATTATTTTTACGTATCGTTATAATAATAAGCTTCCGCAACAACGTACGGTGTTTCAACAGTATATATGTCTAGTCCATCTTATGATATATATTAAACCTTTTTATATATAGGACAAGAATATTTGATGTTTAGATCAAGAAAGATTTTATCAGAATTTTTAAACTTCCATCGTCGATAGCTTCTCGAATGATCAACTTAAAAGAAATGGCATGTGTAGAGTTGTCTTGAAAATGTGAAGGCTCAATTGGTTAGATTCCTAGACTTAGTATGAGTACTTGAATTTAGGACTGTTTATTTTTCAGCGGTAGGCAACATATACTCATCGGCAACGAGACCTCAGTACCATGGCATCACTAATGATTGTCATCTATCTCAAAATTGCCTTTATTGGAGGTGCTGATGGGGCTAGCTAGGGTGTGCGTTCGTGATGATGAGTGGACAGCATGTATATGAGCACATGTATGCATACTGTGTTTAAAAAAATTGTCATGAAACTTTCTACCATAATATCAACCTATTATGTATTTTAATATAAAAGTGATGGTTAATATCTTAAAATTTTAATTAAATCTTGCTGTAAACTTTCCATGCTAGCTTATGATTGTAGGGAGGGAGCATATCCTATGCACATAATTTTCCGTTCACACCAACTATTAAATGTCATAGAAAATTATAAAATAAATTGGACGCATACTTCTAATAGTATTACACCTATGTATAATCTTATCTTCAAATTCATTATATTTTAGTCATAACAAAAACGAAAGACAAAATTCTAACCGATTTTTACTCCTAAA